AATTTCTATGAGACTCAATAAACTGAAAGTGACAGGGAAGCAATTCCCCTGGAACTTATCCTAAATCCTTCATTATTATTATTATTATTATTATTATTATTATTATTATCCATCATTGGGAAAACCTCGAAAAGGACAGACTTTTTGATGACTGATGACCGAAACTTCTAGAGTACAGACCTCAAAATAGTAAGCCTACTGATCCTTTGGATGCCCCTGTAAAAACATTTACTCGTCGACTTTACCCATTTCCACCGTATGATTCCTTTCGACTATGCTGTGGGCGAGTTCCGCATTTGATAATCAAACAATTTAAAGATGCGGAAATTTCAACATTAATCAAGGTAAAATGTTTGAAATAGTTGGGCAACCATTGTTTGGGGCTCATTGAATGATTAACTACCTTGACACGAGACCACAAACCGGAAAACAGGTCAATAAAAAACAACGATCGGCATAATCAAGTGGAACGCGAACAAGCGATATCGCCATGCGAACATAAACGGACGAAACAACGACAGCGAAACGATACGGGCAAAAACAATTGAGACGAAGAGCAAGAAAATTCAGTTATTGAACACGACACTCTTTTCCAGGCTCATTTGACGTCAAACTGTACTTGTTTTGAGATCAGTGTTTATCATTACAACATCGTTTCATCATTTATCACTCTCAACTGCAATATTTCCAATGTGGCACAAGGATTATTTTCCCTAACAAATTCTTATCCTTTCGTGCTTTATAAAAAGTTTGTTCAAAAAATTTTGCTTCAAAAGATGATGACCAAACGTGAAAGACAGTAGATATGAAACAAATCAGTGTCCATTAACAATTTTAAATGTGAAATTTTACCTTAGCAATTTTCATTAAGCAGTTTAAAACTCAACCACTCGGGAGCATTTTTTGTGAGAGGTTGTGACGTCCCTGTCTTAAGTCAAAATAGCATTTCAAAACAGCATTTAAAATAGCATTTAAGTCAAAATGCTTTTCAAAACAGAATTTCTTTGAGAATGAGAATTTTCATGCCTATTGAACGACTTTTGGTGAAGTGTAAAATGGGAGCTCAATCAATTAATTTGCTCAACTATTGAAACAATGAAGAATATAGATATTAATAGAAGAAAGCTTTCACCAATCTGTAATACAATAGTGTAGAATACCAGCCAAAAAAGATTCCAATCATGCTCAAAATTAATTCGATCGACGAGGTAAGGCCCAGCACTGAATCAAGCATCCCTCAGCAAAAAAATGTATGGCACATACAAAAAATGATATATACAGACAGGGGCGGATCTAGGATTTTCTCGAAGGGGGGAGGGCGGATTTTCAAAAAATGTTGACCTTTTTTTAGGTCGAACAAATAGATTTTCCGAGCTCTCCTGAAGCACTAAAAAGACGCTGTTTTGGCCAAACTTTGTGCGCCACAGGCAATTTTTTGAAAAAACAGGTCAAACAGGTCCGTTTTTTGGCACTTTTTGGAAAATTTTGACAAAAAAAATCGCGTTTTTTTTCGTGCGCTCCCCCTCATGAAATAGTTTCACTGATTTGATTAGAAGACCTGGTTATTTGCACAGCCTGTCATAAGGCATTTTAGAGACCAGCACTATAAATGTATTTAATTTGCGCAATTTCATGAGACCATAAAAAATTCAAGTTAATTCCTTAAGACGATCGCAAAGTTTCTCAGGAGAATTATAATAAATTCTGGTTTGCGCTTCAGCGAGAACGCCTAAAGAAAATTGAAAGTTTTGTAAGACCTACTGGAGAACGGAACACTTACAATTTGTCACGACGATATCAACAGTTTAACATCCCTTTATCGAAGTAACTTTAAAAACCCTCGCTCCAAATTTTAGGTGATCGGATAGCTCGCATCCTGTACTGTCGAGGAATTGTCCAGAAAAATATCCTAGACTTAAAGGACAAAAGTTCCCATCATTTTCGCTTCGGAAAAACTTTTATACAACCGTAACCGATAAAAAACTTTATCCTTGATGATCTTGGCAAGGTTCACCCATTATTTGTTCTAGAGTTTATAATGCTGTCAACTGTGTCTAGGAAAAATGACTAACTAGTCTCATTCAAAAAGAAAGAAAAAAGCTGAAAAACCATATCCAAAGAAAAGAGCTCGAGGAAAGAACAGGAGTTAAATCGAATACAGTCAAAAGGAGCCAAAAGTTCGAAGAACACACCATCACAGAAAGAACGAAAACGGAGACAGAAGCAGCTCAAGAACAAATCAGTGATAGGCCTTAGTTTGTGCCTCAGAAAATCTGAACTGATTAGGCGAGATAATATTGGGTTCCCTTGAAAATTTATTACGTTTGTGCCTCTTAACCTCTGGGTCGGAGCTGCATCGTTGGATTGAATACTTATGGATGCGAAAATTTGTAATTGATCAGCAAAATACGTCTAGGAAAGCAATAATGTGTGCAAAGATGGATCTTTCTCTAGTTTTAAAGGAGGAACGTGGTTTCATGCAAATACCTGTACAAGAACTCCTACAAAACTACTGAGGCAAATACCCAAAACACCAGGCATCAATTGGCTGTATAAAACTTTGACAGGATAAAGGTAAAACATCTGAACAAAAAAGATCACTCCGCACCAGATAAGTTAGCTCATTATTTCATAAGTTAGCTAAAAAAAAGTAGCTGATATAGAAAAGACACAACGAAAACGAGAAGCATGCAAAAGGATCATTACTAACGCCGAGAAAGAAGGAACTTGAACATAAGTAAGTTCGATTCGAAAATGAACTAAGCATTAGAGCAACAAGCCCGGCTACCTTCAGAAATCAAATTTTCTTGACACAACCCACAGGTTGAAATAAAACCCAAAAAACTGAAACTAATAATTCGGGAAACACTTGCCCAACAGAAAAAAGTAGAACAATTCAATCAAGAGCTACATGAAAATAACGTTTTTTTTTTTCGAGTGAAAGAGAATTAAGCTCCAAACTGATGAACGACTAAAGGAAAATATTGAAATCTTCAACGACTTTTGCTCAGATGTATAAATACTCAACGAAAAGGTGAAAAAAGCGATCCAATTTGGTAAAGCAAAGACACCAGAACAAAACAAACACCACTTAAACAAGGCCTCTGAGATTCATTTTAGAAAACAAAAAAGAAGCGAATCGGCATAGCAAATATTTTTCATGCTAAATCGAAATACGTCAGCTTCATCGACCATTTCTACAAAACTTGATTTGTATAGGGCAATCATTAACCCAATTCTACTTTATGCATCAGAATGCTGGCAGGTGAAGCGATCTCAATTTGTTCTTCTAAAAAATTTCAAAAGAAAGTTGAATGACTGGTAGACAAAATGTTGTTGCCACCGCTAGAGATCAAAGTACTCTTATTATTATACAGCAAGAATATCAATGGAAGGTAGGGACAATTTGAATTAATATGTCAACAAAGAAAGAGCACACAGAATAAATTTACCAGAAATACGAGAATGAGCTCAAAGGTAAAAACTTCTGGTACCGCAATTGTTTCAGAATGAACTGCATCTAACGTAAGATGACGTTTTTTGGTTCAACTCATTTGAAAAAAAATAAACGTGGAAATGGTAAAATGGCTCTCACACACGGCGAAGCGGAGCATCGCACTACTTGCGATACAACACAATCATAAAAAACATACGTGGAAAAAAATGAAAAATGTTGAAAAACTAGGTGAACCGAAATTTTCGTACAACTCGGGGAAGGACACCTAGGGCCTAGCTAACGCTGGAAGCACGTGTTTCATATTTTTGGATTTTTTTGTACTGATGCGGGATGAAAAGCGTAACTTCGTAAATTGGATTTTACCCAAAACCTTAGTTGTTTCTCTTCTAAAATTAGTGAGAAGGGCAAAAATCTTTGAGATTTTGGAATGTTTCCAAAGTCATAACATTTCTCCTACAAAAAAGTAAAAAGTAGCCGCTTTGTCCGGAAAAAAGCTTATTTCGATTGAACTTTTAATCTCAGATTTGATAGGGAAGTTTTTAAGAAAAATCAAAAAATTTCTAACAAACGGTCAAACTTCCAAAACTTGACTTTCCCAAATCCGTATCTTTTTTCTGCGAAAAAACAGGTCATGGCCGGTAAAGTAGAGAAGATTCTCACAATCTGGTTCCTCGATTGACACTTAACCTGGGAACTGCACTCTAATGTTCGAGTAAAGTCACAAAACTTCCAAAAAACGGTCAAAGTTTCAAAACTTTCACTTGATTGAAGGCCTAACTTTTTTCAAAACAAACTGGGCCTTGTAAATTACAAAGATAAGCTTAAAACAACCTGTTGTGACGAATAAACCTATGATACCAGATTCGGCATGATAGTTATCGAGATAAGTCAAGAAAAAAAGGTCAACAAATCATTTAATTGACAATTCCGAGAATCATAGCTTTTAGCGCGTAGCCGCTTATGCTGAAGACATTCACCCGACCAGATTTTTCGATTGAACCCAAAAACCCAGATTTGGTAGGGTTGTTCTCCCGAAAATTCAAAAATTTCAAAGAACGGTCAGAAAATTGACTTTTTCAAAGACGATAACTTTTTGCCGCTAACGCAGGGGAGCTTCTCACTACCCGTTTTATCCATTGAACGCACAACCTCTGCTTTGGGAGGTTAGTTTTCGAGAAAAATCACAAAAACACTTAACGGTCAAAATAATTTTTTTTTTAATTTTCAAGTCCCCTGAAACTTCCCAGAATTTTCATGAAATTGATCATGTCAGCACTGATATCAGCAAGTAATTCAACTGATTTTGCTAAGCTAGTAGTTAACTAGAAAAGAAAAGTCTACTTTCGATTTGATAACGCTTGCTTATTGCAAGCGTAAGCATACTGTAATGAAAATAACCCTGGCAAACATTTCAACATTCTTAACAGAGAATAATGCTAGCACGTCGAACTCCGTCTATTTATGCTATACCTATCGTGTTAATCTGATGTTACACTTCGGAAAAAATCACAGTGGCATATCCACGAAGCCATTATAATAATACCTAAAATGACAACAGAAGTTGTGCCGTCTCCACATTCTTCATCTTGAGTTCGCGCTATTTCGATTAGACTTTTGGCAGCCGGATGTTGCACTTGAATTTCTCTCAGAATTGCATTACCGTCATTTGTCATCACGATACCTCCCATTGGATCCATCAACATCTTCAACATGGCTCGAGGTCCAAGGCACGTTCTTATTACATCTGCCACAGTCTAAACATAACAGCCTATTAGTCACTCATAGTCATATTCTACATTTATCTAAAATGAGAACCAGGATTTTACTTACTTTGGCTGAAGCAATGTTGCCTATTTGCACATTTTTCCCAGATTCCCTTCTGGTATTTTGGTCTGCAAATACAAATCACTTCAATAAACAAACAAATTTGTTGATTAGTATGAATAAAACTCAAAGACACTGACTCAAAATAATAATTGGAGTTCCCCCACGGCCCATCATTCTGTCACCTATAAACAATTCAAAAAATTCAATAACCATGTAACATTCGCTCGGAAGTACATTTCGACCGAAAATAAAGCTAGGTTCTAAAACGACTGGCTAGCGTATAAACACAGCTCTACATGCTTTTCACCGTCTCTGCCAAAGCCAGTTCTTTTGGTGGTTTTCCTAACATCGGGTCGACAAAACGTTACTGCTTTCCGGCTTCGACCAGAACGCTCAAATTAACTTAATTATATGCAAAAAGAGTGAGCTCATGGCTGGGTCTCAGTATCCCCAGACCACGAGGTCACTCCTAAAAACAGGGCTACTACTATTTATTATATTACTATTGTTTTTGTTCAGTAGATAGAAATCATCATCTCCATCGAAGATGGATCAACCCTTTCCCTCACTCCTAGCTTCTCATTCTCTGAAAATGAATCTGGATGTTAATTAAATTCAACTCAGGACATGACCAGTAAGCTAAAAGTTTTTATATAACAGTTTGAGTTCTGGGCCCGAGACCCCTCCGGATTCTGGAATCCGGGGAAATAGCACTCCTACTTCTTTCTGGAAGGCTGGACACGCCGTCCCAAAACCCTTCTTTTTTCTCGTGTTCTCTTCCTTTTCTCGGGTTCCTGACAATCTCCAATTACAATTTCAATCTGTTGTCGTTTTCTCGTAGTTGTTTCCACTGCGACTATTGTTGTTGTGTTTCGCCGCTTCAGTGTGTGCGAAATAATAAAAGGTTACGTGTCATTCATGTCCAAATCGAAATTTTAAAAATTAGCATGTCAGTTAAAACTAACCCTTCCCAATTCGTCCAATCGTTCATAACGTCGCTAATCATTAAAACCATCAATCTTCCCAGATCGATGTTCTTTATTTTGGTCGATAAAAATTCGATTGCGAAACTGCATTTTTGTACATTCTGTTCGAATGTCACATACTCCCCGGACAGCCCGGTCAATGTCCTCATTGAGTCTCGTAGTCTTCATTGAAATGGTCCAGTGCCATCGAACAGAATTTACAAAATGCATAAAATGTAACATTCGCCCAAATACTACACAGCGACGGAGCGTAGGAAAAGTACCTATTAACGACTGGCAGGCGTCAGTTACCTTAATTCTACTCGTTTTTCACCGTCTCGACCTTGCCAGTTGATTTTCTGGTCTGTTTAGGGCAAAGTAAAAAGTTACCATTTTTAGGCCATCAGTCAAACGACTTTTGATCAGCTTTCGTTTACATGCGAACACAACCACATAGCTGAGTCTCGGATCCTCAGACTACGTGATTGTCATTAAAAACACGGCTCAAACAACCTATTTTAACATGTTTTTATGTGACAGTTCTATATTAAATCCATTGGAGATGAATTGACCCTTTCCTTTTTCTAGCTACTCATGTTCTGAAATATTAAACAATAACGGTGTTAATTAAGATCTATGACATTCCAGCAGCTATAAACTAGTTTATACAGTCCCTTCACATAGAACAGTCTCTGGGGGACCAAGCCTCCGCTCCCGTAATATTCCTGAGATAACGCTCTTATCTCTTATAATTCGTGTCCCGGGAGGGTCCCGTGGTATATTTCTTCCCCCCACTGAAGCCTCCTTCTCCACCAATATCTGTTGAAAAGTGTCTTATCGTGCGTTGTTGCCACGATAAGAGGCTTCGTAATTTCCGTCTCTTGTACGACTGTTTTTCACAATATCTGTCGTTCTTTTTTATTCCGTCACATTTTCAGTCAAAATGGCCGTTTTTCGTATTTGTGAGAAATATTCTTCTTCCAATCGAAATTTTAAAAATAAAAATTCTAGAATATTCCGACCCTCCGCAATACTTTTTCGTCAATAAGGCCTTTAGTCGTTCTTTTTTACGTCGCCGGAAGGTTGTGCTGTGTCATCTGGCAGAATGGCACATACTCCCCGGACAAGTCTCCATCAATGTCCCTATTGATCGCATAACACCGGGTTATCGTCAAGTAGTTATCCAGTTTTCTACCATCAATCTTACAAATCGCATAAGAAAATGAAATTTATCTACCCCACCTCAACTCACTACGTGTTCACAAATGGCATCGTACTACATCTCACTGCCTTTCAACAGTTTCACAAAATTTGCACCATGAGGAGTGTCCTAGATAAAATTTCTTTTCTGACCACTTACGTCGTCTTGCCATAAAACTTCTTTTCGCTCTTTGTGATTAAAAAGTGGGACGTGGTACGGCCACGCACCCGTTAAAATTAACTTAACTTCACTCACCAAGTATAATCAGTCATCTATGCGGTCCTTTCAATATTAAAACTAAGAAACTCTGTGGCTAGGAAAGTTATTGAGTTACCCACCCTTCTCGAGCGAGTTTACTTAAACTTACCATGTCGCCACACAGTGAATTTGTATCTTACACAGGTTAAAAACTTCAGTCGTGAATAAATAGGTAAATATACTCACCTATGCTCCTTATATACATACATAAATAGCCATAACTAAAATCAAGAATTTCAACAATTTTAACAATTGCAACAGTTTTCAAAGTTTGGTCTGACCAAACTAGATCAAAACAAAAAGTTTCACAAGTTCAATAATCAAAACTTGGTTGATTGGTTTAAGTTTTAGCACACAAATAAAATCAAGTTTTCTCTCCTTCTCTTCTCTTCTTTGGTCATCTTTATTCCATCACTTCTCCATCCTGATCTTCGCTGTCTTCCAACACTTTCTCCAGCATGTCCATGGAGTTGCGGGCCGTGCCCTAACTCTCCTGTTCCAACAGCCTCGGTTTGCAACAAGATAGCAAGTCCACATTCACCTTCTGCTCCCGGTTCCTGCAAAAGCTGTTGTGAAGACATAGGCTCACGTTTCGTTCTAGGTCAGCACTTAAGACCTCTTTCTTCTCATCTTCAGTAACACAAGGCGCTCCAGCTACCCGCTTCACCCCTGTGGTGACCGCGTTTCTGTGCGTCAAGAAAGCTCTCTTATAGGCTCCCGGTCCTATATCTAGCTGGAAAGATTGATAGGCTTCCGTGTTCTTTGACATGTGACGCTTCGCGCGTTCATACATCCATGATGTCATCACTGCACGGAACCAAGGCATCAATCTTTGCCTTGACCATATTCTTTCAATGGCTTTAGGTATCCTCAGAACCTTGCAGGTGGTTCTGAAAAGATCCAATTCACGACTCATTTTTACGTTGCTCAGCTGTTCAGGAGTCGGCACGGCCGTCTCCTGCAGACTTGTGTCCGCGTTAGCCTCCAGCCATCTCACTGCTAGCATGGCGCTAACCACCACGATTGACACTTGTTGATTCTGATCGGGCAACCCCGTGGAGTACAACTCCTCCACGTCCCATACTAGCATCAGATTCCCGCGTTTGGGGTACCACAACGTCTGCGCCAAGCAGTGGCAAGGATACTCCCCATGGGTTCTCACTATGTTCCTTCGGGTCCGATATCCTGAGGCTCCCAGCAACAGTTCCACTTCCATCAGAATTCTATGTAAATCGTCTTTTTCCTCTATTGTGGGGAATTCAGTGGGTAAGGCTCCACTCGCTTTCTGTTTCTGGAACTCACTCACATTGCCTTCGTTCAGTCTCATGAACTCTTCACCCACAACGTCTTGCAACTCGCTTTCGGATCTCTTCGGGACTGCCCGAAAGATCTTTGCCAACAAGTCATATGACTTTTCCGACATTCTGGCCAACCTCACGCACTTTGGCACAGAGAAAAGTTGGTCAACCAATACTTGTTGCGTCCTCGCATCCATTACCACCATGTGCGTAGGATACTTGCTATTACAGTATGGCGCGGAGCTTGAACCCACCATATATTTTGAACCAGTAGGTCTGTGATAGGCTTCACTATCCTTCAGATTCATTTCATTTTCTAGAGCTTCTCGCCAGCCCCCAATCTTCTGCTCTGTCTGTAACGCTCCAGGGAATACCTCCACGCTGAGGGACGTCACTAGCTCATGGGCACGCTCTAGGCGCTCAAGCGATTCTATCGAACTCGTCATGCTACAAAATCCCAGGGCTGTGATCAAGTTTACGTCTGTCACCCCATGGCAGTCTGCGACCAACTCCATGGCACTCTTATCTGACATGCTCAATCTTCCGTACAATCGTGCCAGTTGTCGATGCTGCTCGCTCAGCGTAATCAGGCAGTGTCCCAAGTTGCAAACATGCCCTTCCATCCTACTTTGTTGAGCCAAGCATGTGCCTTGCTTCAACCAATCGCTCGATGGACTTTCTTCAGGCAGCTCCGTGGATGGATTGCTCTTCCGCTTCGTCAACTTCATGGCCAGCAGATGGTGTATCATGGCCAGATCATGTAGACTCGCGTCATCATCTCGGTCTAACATGACATCCGCTGTCATGTCCCAGATTAAGCCGGCGTTAGGATGAGGACACCACGAAGGCTTCATGAGTTCCCACATCGTCACTAGACTGGTTTTCAAGGGACCGTCCCAAGAACCACAATCAAAACTCACTTGCCCCTTTAGCTCGGGAACCGAGGGTTCGACCACTCGTTCTTCCAAGATAATTCCCCGCTTGGGTTGTTCCACCATCAGCATCCCAGTTTCTTTAATACGTTCAACCCAGAAATCGAGTATTATGACTTGCTCATAGTCGAAGTACGCTTCCCTGGCTTCTTCATTCACGAAGGGATTATACGCCATCCCCGGTATGCCAGACACATATTGGAACGACTTCAGTTTCCCTAGTGTTGCAAACTCTTTTTGTCCTCTGACCGCTTCAATCAACTCTCGGCTCACTTTCAATTCTTTGTTGGAATATCTTCTCACCTCTTCCAACTTGCGATAGCTTTCCATATCATTCGACTCCTAGCTTGGCACAGTCAATGGCATGTCCTGATATAGTTCCAGGAGTGCCCTAAGGAAGTTCCTTTCACAATCAACTCCCTTTTGCCGAATGATCTTTATGCATTCTCTCAAAACAGGAGTGGGGATACGATCCACCACGAACCTGACAAAGCAAAGGGCATCCTTACGCTTAGCCCATGCTATCGC